GTCCAGAGGAGGGTCGTGAAACATGCGGCCGCTGAGAGTGGGGCCACAGGTTCAGCTGGTGAGCGGCGTAGCGAACAGCGAACGGCCATAGAAATTGGGGTGTACTGGCATGAATCATGGAGGTACGAGCCACCTCCATGACCAAGCCGATGTATCGCTCAACGACCCCATTCTGCTGTGGGGAGTCCGGCAGGGTGTACGACTGGGTGATGCACTCCGCACGACAGAACCGGCCAAGCTAACTGGAGGCGAACTCGCCGCCACGGTCGGAGTGGCGACACACAACAGGGAGACCTCGACGGACTCGCGCAGCTATGACCCACGGGATAAGAATGTCAGGCACGTCGGCCTTCCGCCCCAAAGGAAACACCGTGGTGTAGCACGTGTAGTTGTCGACAAGCACAGGAAGTAGCGCTCTCGACGCGGCCCAAGGACGGGGTCTGGACCCCAGACGTCCAGGTGCAGGGTCTGGAGTGACACGGTGGCAGGGCAAAGTGAGGAGGAGTGAGGTGCATGGCGCAGCCGACCCTCGACGCAGAGCGTGCACGGCGGCGCAGGCGAGGGAGGGAGGGAAGGGAGCGACGCAGGGAGACCTAGGACAAGACCGTGCTGGGACATGTGACGCAGACGCTGGAGTGAAGGGTGACCTAGGCGGTGGTGCCACAGCATCGACGGGTGAGTGAGCGATTGACAAGAGCAAGCCGCGGCTACCTGGGGGGACGCCCTTACCGGGGGGGATGCAGTGTCAAGCGTGAACAGGCCGGACATTGGGTCCCGGGTGAACGTGGTTGGAGGAGCATTAGTGACGGTCTTGGTGCAGACTGCGTACCACTCGTGTCCAGGGAACGTAGTGGTGACATCGAGGTCCTGAAGACAGCCGACACCGACTAGGTTCCTAGAGAACGAAGGGGTATGCTGGCCTGTAAGAGTGCCCGAGAGGACCGCCGGACAGGGAAGGGTGGTGGAGCTACGTGCAACTACTGGACCTGAGGAGGGTTGTGCAAGTGCGATGGCGGCAGCGGCGGCAAGAGGCATAAGGGAAGTGTGGTCGCGGAAGAAGCAGGTAGACACACCAGAGTCAAGCGTGAAGGAGAGCGAAGCGTTAGCGGCAGCCGGCAAAGGGGCTAGCGTGGAGCCTAGGCTAAACAAGGCAGACGGTCCTACGCCTGACACATCAGGGGAGCCTTAACTACACAGTAGACACACCTATGCTAGGCAACACTGTGTAATAGGATACAATCACACTAGAGTCATCAGCATACATGAGAGACATAGCATTCCTAATCTGATCCATGTCAAGCTCAAATACCGGCACAGGATGGTGAGCCAGGGCGTATCTGTCCGTAGTGTCTGTCGCAGGACCGAAGCGGTGGCGGAACAGGTCGTCCAGGCGGCGGTAGCAGCGGTCGGCGGTATGGCCGGGCCGGAGGCAGACGTTGCCGCGGCGTGGGCCGATCTGAAGCTGGTACTGGCAGGTGACTGCGCTGGAGCCGCCAACCGACACAGAGCTGCGCGCGCCCCCTCCCACGACCACCGCCGCTAGTGCCGCCAGTCCACCACGGCGGCGGGGGTCCCCACGGCGACTGCTGCTTCTGTGACGACTGCTGCAGCGGCTGCGGCTGCTGAGTCTGCTGCTGCTACTACTGAGGCTGCGTCTGCTGCTGCGGCTGCTCCGGGGGACCAGCCCCAGTCCCCTCGTCTGAACCACCATCCCCACCCTCGCCGTCGCCACCCCCACCACTGCCACCCCCCTTCCCCCCACCACGCCCCCCTTTGGGACGGCGACCCTTACTAGGACGCTTCTGTGCTGAGGCCGCAGCAGCAGTCTTAGCAACAGCAGCAGAGACGTCAGAGTAAGTGCAATGGGAGGGAGCACAGCCTTGAAAGATACTGTGGCAGGAAAAATTGTCCACATGTTTAGCATGTTTTTACATTTTGACGAGCTGTACGCTGTAAACATGAAGCCTTAATCCATGGTGGCCATACACGTAGAGAAGAAAAGTTAGAGCACTCATTCAAGTCTCCTAAATCCAGAGTAGTATATTACATGGTCCTTCAACACGACAGCATTTACAGTAATAACCGCACATACGGACAATTTGTACTGAGGATAGGCAGCAAACTAAGTTACTAGCAAAACTAGTACCTAGTCCAGCGTCCCTTTGCGCGGATCACCGCCTTGATCCTCCTCGGTATATTGTCGATGAGGTTTGAGCACACTTCCGCCGGAATCTTGTCCCATTCCTCCTGCACTCTCTCCCACAGCTCCAACATTCCACGGGGAGGCTTGTCGTACTTCGCCAGCTCCCTTTTCAAGTGTGCCCACATGTGCTCTATCGGGTTAAGGTCCGGGGAGGACGACGGCCATTCCAGCATTGCATACTCCTGCTCCCCAAGCCAGTCTTGCACCAGACGTGACTTGTGCTTGGGATCATTATCGTGCTGGAATATGACCTCTGAGGGGGGGAGCTTGTAAAAACCGATGGTTTGAGACAGTTCGTCTTGCAAGATGTTGCGATACAGCGGCCCATCCATCCTTCCATCGATCTTGCACATGAACCCCGCCCCCTCATACGTCATGCAACCCCACACCATCACAGAGCCGCCCCCATGCTTAACTGTCTACTGGATTTGGTGGCTCTGGAGTTTGCTGCCCGCGCGAATCCAGGCGTACGCACGTCCGTCGGAGCAGAAACGATTAATCTTTGTCTCATCGGACCATATCACGCGCTTCCTGTCCTCCATCGTCCATTCAGCATGAGACCTCGCAAAATCCAGCCGGTCTCATATGTTTTTGCTAAGAGCCTGGGTTTCTTGGGTTGCTGCACAGCGATCAGACCCGCGGATCGTCACGAGTTCCTAACAGTCTTCGAGTCTACAACCAGAGCGTGCTTCTCCACTAGCATCTTCACGGCGTCCACACTAGTTTTCACCTCCCCGCTGGTGATCGCACGAACTATACCACGCTGGATGTGTGTTGTAATTAACCGTGGACGGCCGGCCATGGGCATTGTAGGTCACACCTCTTTGAGACTAGTCTCGGCAATCGCCTTCAGCCCGTAATCATGCACGGTACTTTTGCCTATGCCGAGCTCCTTGGCTATTTTCCTAGTCGACAGCCCCTTGCGCAACATGCTTACGATACGCGCGTGCTTCTTCTCATCTACCGGCTTCATCGTACTGCGATCGCAGGTTAACTTCTGGCCTAACTTCTATACTAACGGTTGTTGCGCGAAACAGTATGAACGTTAAGTGGCGAGCGAAATTAGATCTAGGCTGCCGCTCGTAATGAACTGTCCGCATCCACTGTCGATGAGTAAATCTCATCCTCGCTAACTGGATGAGGGACAATCGCGCCAAGATGTATACGGTGGAAACAAAACTCGACGAACTTGTAACACGACAAAAAAAAAATGGTGTTACTATATTCGAAACATGTGTTGCATAGCGCTAAGTTTTAAATTGCTGAACATCCGGGCAATTTTTCCTGCCACTGTAGGTATTGCCGCAGTACCGCTAGACTGAGCGATACTGCGCTGGCGGGTCTCTATCTCAGACAGGGCAGTGACAAAGGCGGGAAGAGTGAGGTCACCCGAGTGCTGACTAAGGAAGTGGTCGCGGGCTGTGGCTAGGCGGTCAGGGAGGCGCGTGGCGATGAGATAAAGGGTAGCGCAGAATGGCGGCGGGAAGGTAGTGAGCTGTGCCTCAGTGCTAGCAGCGCGGTAGCTTGTCTCAAGCGCCCGGAGGTGCGTGGCAAAGTCAGCAACAGTGGGGAAGGACGCAAAATCAGGGAATAGCATGGGAAGGATCAGACGACCAGCAGAGGCAGTCGCGGGGGTGGAATAGCGCGCAATGACAGCATCTAAGTTTTTTTTTTTTTTTTTTTTTTTTTTTTTTGCTTTAAGGAGATCCCATCTGAGAAGGCCTAGGCGTTCGCTACAGTGGTAAAGCGAGGATGCTCAAACAGTGGGAGCGCAAGGCTGATAGCAAGCTGTGCGACAGCGTCGCGCGAGTCCCAGACGGCACAAGCAAGCGCAACAGCGGAAAATGCCTCACGCTCAGCAGTGGTGGGGGCATCAGGGAGGGCAGCAAGCACAGGGGGGCGGGGAAGTAGGCCATCGGCATGAACAGCCAGGGAGTAACCGTCCTGGCGCTAACCTGTAAGGTGACGCCGAAGGTCGACCAGCCATGCCTCAAAGTCGAGCGCCCGACCCTTTGCATCCAGACGGAGCTGTGACTCCGCCATCGCCACTGCTGCAGCTGCTGACAGCCGTTGACAGAGTGAGCAGGACAGGTGGAGGGAGCGGTGGAGAGCGGTGGAGTGTGGTGGAGAGCAGTGGAGTGCAGTGGAGTGCGATGGAGAGCGGTGGAGAGCGATGGAGACAGCCGGCAGGGGAGCCGGCGCTAAAGGGAGCCAGAGTCGGTGGGTCGGCGCTGTGACTCGACGGCCTAGCGGCTGGCCGTTGAAGCGGGGGCCAACTAGGGCGCCAACGGGGCCGGCGGGGGGAGCAGGGCCAGAGGGGCTCACGGGGCTGACGGGGCGCTAACGGGCCGGCGGGGCGCTAATGGGCCGGCGGGGCGAGCAGGGCCAGAGGGGCGCACGGGGCCGACATGGCGCTAACGGGGCCGTCAGGGCGCTAACGGGCCGGCGGGGCACTAACGGGCCGGCGGGGCGAGCAGGGCCAGTAGGGCCAGAGGGCGCGAACGGGGCCGGTAGGCCGCTAACACGTCGGCAGGGTGCTAACGGGCCAGAGGGGGCGCACGGGGCGCTAACGGGGCCGGAAAGGGCGCTAACGGACCGGTGGGGCGCACGAGGCCGACGGGGCGCTAAGGGGCGGTCAGGAGCCGGCGGCTAGGAATAAGACGAGAGCGGGCGCGCGGGTGGGCGGGGAGGACCTAACCTAGCGCGTGATACCATCTCAGAGTAAAAAAAGTAACTAGAATTGAGGCATACAGGTTGAATTTGTTCAAGTGGTTGTACCCTCTAAGAGCATGCACCTATCTAGCCTATTATAACATTTACAAATATGTTTGACAACACCGACCAACAATAACTTCAGCCGGCCACTAATTAAACAATATCACTGTACATGAGAACCATGAATAGCCTAATGCAATCAACCATCGTCCAAAGGACGACAGGTGCCTAAAACACATGCTTCGTAGATCCAGTATCAGTTCCAGATCTACATGAACCATCCATCGTCCAAACTCCACTCACATCGCCTGTAGCCCTCTCTGCACATGACCTAACCTAACCAATCAGCCCATATTTCATTCATCTCCTACCACCTCTTCGCCGGCGGTGACCAGACGCACCACCCCGCTTTCTTGCCGCCCTCTCCCTCTCTACCCTCCCGCGCCTCGCCCCCATTGACCCTGCTGCCGCTGCTGCAGCTGCCGCAGCAGCCGCTGCCATTGCAACCGCCGAAGCCTCTTCACTCCCAGTCGCTGCTGCCACAGCTGCTGCTGTTGCAGCCACTGATGCTGCTCCCGTGGCTGCTCCAAACCCATCTGCCCCAAACGCATCACCCCCAAACCCATCTCCCCCACCCGAAACCCCAGCGCCCGCTCCCTGATTAATCGCTGCTGCAGACCCCCCCCCCATTCCCCCTCCTGACATGGAAACCTCCCCGGTGTTGCCGCTCCCATGTCCATCCCCGTCTTGCCGTGACGCAAACACCATATTGGGCTCCAGAGGAGGCGGAGGAGGTATGGCTCCAGATGCAATCCTCTCGAGCTCTTCCAAAGACTCGTCCATCTCATACCCCCCATGCTCCCCTCCTCCACCCCATCCCTGCCTTACCTCGTCCACATCCACATCCACCACCCCTGCCGGCAGAAACAAGCCCCTGCCTTCACCAGGCAGCACCTTCCCGTGCCTCCTCCTCTCCACCGTTTCTACATCCACCCAGTCTTCGCTCTCATCCCTCCCTCCAATCCCCGCAATTAGGTATCCTAGCGCATCCAGCGCAGGAGTAAGCGCCATGGAGAGCACCACCACTATAAGCACAATCCGGTTCACATCAGTCGGCAGCACGCCCAGGTCACAGGCCAGCGCCAGAACCACAAATGCAAACTCCCCTCCTGGAGACAGAATCAGTGCCGTGCGAATGGCATCCTTGCCCTTCAGCCCCCACCGAGGCGCCAGCAGCGCAACCGCGGCCGTCTTGACTGCCAGCAAGCCGGCAAGCAGCGTCAGAATAGCCGGCCACTGCTCCACCAGCAAGTCAACATCGATGGACGAGCCAGTGGTGAGGAAGAACAGCCCCAGCAGCAGCTTCTGCAGCGGCCCCGTGCACAGAGCCACGTCGTGCTTCAGAGGCGTGGACGACAGAATCGCGCCCGCCAGGAACGCGCCGAGCGAGTCGGAAAATCCGAGCTTGTCCGTAGCAAGGGAGGTGCCAGTGACGGCAAGGAGGGAGAGGGCGAGAAACGCCTCAGGCGCATTGGCGCGCTGCACGGCGGCAAAGGCGGGCTTCATGAGCCACTGGGCGCCCACCAGAATGGCGCCCAGGCCCAGGAGGGCCTTGAGCGCGCCTGCTACTAGCAGCTGCGCTAGAGCCACGTTGGCTGGGCCGCCTAGGAGCGCTGCTGCGACTGAGAAGACGAAGCCAGACGGGTCTGCTGCCACTGCTGCTGCTGTCGCCGCCGCTGCTCCCGCCGCCGCTCCCGCTGCTCCCGCCACTCCCACAGCTCCTGCCGCCGCTCCCGCCGCTGCTTCTGCGACTCCTGCTGTTGCTACAGCCGCAATGGGCGCAGCAGCAGTGGCGGCGAGGGTGGCAGTAGTCGTGGCTGCATCCCCTGCAGCCCCAGCAGCAGCGGAGAACCCTCCTTCGAGGACCGGAAGAATAGCAAGGATGGGCACCACTGCAATATCCTGCATGAGCAGCACGCCCAGAGTGGCCGACCCGAACTTAGTTCCCAGCTCGTCGTGCTCGTCCAGGAGATTAAGGACGAAGGCGGACGAGGAGAGCGAGAGCGCGACAGCGATGATAAGAGCTTCGTCTGGGGTGAGGTGCGCGAGGGGGGCGAGGAGGTCGAGGGAGAAAGGGAGCGGAGGGAGGGGGGGCAGCGCGGGGACGATGGAGGAGAGGGAGGGGGGGAGGAGGGTGAGGAGGGAGGAGGCCTGGGAGAGGAGGTGCGCAGGGGAGATGGGGCTGTCGGCCGGCTGCAGTAAGAACCCGAATGCGAGGGTGCATGCTGCGATCTGCAAGAGAGGGGAGAGAGAAGAAAGGGGAGGAGAAATCAGCAGGAGCAGAAGCAGCATTGCACCACTTTTATCGGACGACCGGAGCTTAATTCCCAGCTCGTCGTGCTCGTCCGCAATCGGTAACTATTGCTCGGTCAAGGGAAAAAGGAGGGGGCTGTTCAGGGTCCGTTTGAGGCGCCTCAAAAGCAAGGAGGGGGCTGTTCATGGTCCATGTCTCGAGCTCCTCTGAAAGGATAAAGCCGAGCGGATAGCAAGCTGAGGAGGTCCTGTCAGTGTTCATTCGTGGGTTCATTCATTCTTTCATTCATTCGGCGTACCGAATGAACATCGCATATCGCAACCCATCTCCACGCGAATGCGCTCTGCACCCCACTCGAACCCCAAGCTCTTACAGCCCCCTTCACAGCTCCCCGCTGCCAACGCTGAAGGATTACTCATCTCCACACTATCCCCCAGTCCCACACAGGGACGCGCACCTGCGAGAGGCCGAGGCCGAAGGAGTACTTGGCGAGCTCCTTGAGGCGGTCGACGGAGAGCTCGATGCCCATCTGGAAGAGCAGGAAGAGAATGCCCAGCTCCGACACCGGCGCGATCTCGTTCACGTGCTGCCCCATGCCCAGCCGCGAAAACACCAGCCCCGCGCCCAGGAACCCCAGGATAGGGCTTATCTGGTGGAGGGAAGGGGGGGAGAGGGGGAGGGGAGTGGGGAGGTGGGTGGGGGAGCGGGGGAGAGAGGGCGCGAGGGGTCGGGCGCGGGAATATAGGATGTGGTGGATACGGAGAGGCAACAGGCAACGATGACGAGCAATGGAGGAACCAACAGATGAGAACGACGCAAGGATTGAAGACGCATTAAGACCAACCGAATGATACGGGGGATGAAGGGATTAAAGGGAAAAAGGGGATCTATTTTTGAGGCGCCTCAAAAATAGACTCTTCAAGCATTAAGACCACCCGAATGATACGGGGGATAAAGGGATTAAAGGGGGAAAGGGGATAAGCGCACGGCACGGCACCGACGAGACGAGCACACCGTAAGTTGAGCCACTTGCACGTGCGCACGATAGTGACGGCGGTGAGCAGGAACAGCAGCGCATTTGAGGCCACTCAAATTCAGGCGAGCGCCGTACCTTGAGCCACTTGCACGTGGGCACGATGATGACGGTGGTGAGCAGGAACAGCAGCGCGTCAAGCCCGAGGTCATCTATCACTTGCGCCACCACCGCGGGACCCAGCGCAATCTCCCCACCCACCACCGCGTGCGCCACCACCGACCGCCCGCGCTCCGCCCCTCTCGTCCCCCAACCTCCCCCCCCTTCGCTCCACCTCTCGCGCCTTCCTGGACAGCCGAAGCCTGCCTCGTTATTGCTCGCTCCGGTATCGGCAGACGTGCCGAACCTGGTCCGTTCGGGCAGGCCGCGTCCTAGCCCCAAACCTGAAGCGCGTCCTCGCTCGCCGCCCACGGCGCTCGCCGCAACTGAAGGGGTCCGCGAACCCGCTGGAGGCGACGACAGCCGCAACGGCGAGGGGAGAGGGCGCATTTGGAAGCCATGGCGCGGGGAAGATGCTCCGCCGATGGCGGGCCGTTGGCTCGGGGGAGAGAACGGCCGGAGAAGCGGGGAGGTGAGCGAGCAAGAGCGGAGGAGGGTGGAGGAACGAAGCCGCGAATTGAGAGGACTAGTCTCGCTAGAGAAGTGCGCCGCTGTTAATATGTCGGTCGCCATGCTTACTGGATGGCGTACAGCGGCTGTAAGCTATGGAAAGGACGGCGTCGTGGCGCTTCACAATACTTAATCTCCGGGCCAGTTGACGATTTACAGAAGAGCACGGCCCGAGACTGCGATCAGGAGGATGCTGCTGTCAGAAGCTAAGAACAGAGTTGACTTGTGGCGAGACTGTATGCGATTGTCGGTGCTCCTAATTATAATTTAGTCGCGACCTTTTGAGCAGCTACCAGCAGCTATAAACAGTTCTCAGATGGTAGGAGTTACGGAATAAATGAGAGGGCTTCAAGATAGAGAGCGTTACACGTCAGCTTGAACCGCGACCAAGTTAGTTAGTTGTGAGCCGTCGACGCCAACGCTCGAGTCGCCGTTTGCTCGAATCAGCGCACAGAAGACCACCGAGCTCGTCGTTATTCCAGACGAGTCGCGACGTTGGCCGCCGTCTCGGAGCAGAACTCCCCAAGGCAACCACGGAGCATGAAATATCTCAGCCGCGTCCCTTGATTCTCCATGCATGATACGTCGAGTTGGCCATCGACCGTCATTCAAGAGCTGGGGGCACCGCAGCAGCAAGTCAGAAACGGGTGCTCTGAGTCGTGGAGAAAGCGAGTGAGTGAACGAAAAGGAGTTGCTACTCTGGCAACAGCAAAGCGAGACGCCTTTCTGAATATGGGGGGATGGATTGAATCGACCTAGTCGAATTGGGAGATATATTCTGGGTTTGGCTGGGCTGGCTGGGGGGACTGACAGGGGGGGCTGACTGGGGAAGGGTTGGCGGGAGAGGGTGTGTGGGCGGAGGGGGAAAAGCGCAACTGTCGAGGTGACTCGTGGCTTGTGTAGCTCTCGCTCGGCTGACGTGGCTTTTGCTTGAGATTTCCCGCATCCCTCCGCGCGTCAACGCGCTGTGTTGTTCGCGCCTCTGCTGCTGCTCGTCCCTGCGCCCTCGGCCTTGGGTCCTCCTCGGTGGTCCCGCTCGCGGACTTGACGTGCTGGAGACGAGATGGGGAAATCGGTGGGGTAAGCGGGGCGAGGCGAGAAAGGGCGAGCTGAGTCGCAGCGCGTAATGAGATCTAGGACATTGGTCCAAGACTCCAACGTGTACCATGGATTGATCGGTGATTGGTTCGACCACGCGCCAGCGTGGATTGGTTGGGATTGTCTCAGAGGCAGTTTCGTGAGGAAATTTGCGATTGGAGGAGCTCTACCCAGGTCAGCTGAGCTCTACCCATACCTGCCAGCAAATGGTTCTTCTGACCTGGGTAGAGCTCCTCATCCCTCCTCTACCCAGGTCAGCTGAGCTCTACCCATTCCTGCCACCATTTCCTGAAGTTGACCCAACAAAAGTACTCGAATTTTTGCGAAATCCGGCTGGAAGCATGTGCCCGCGGCTCGAACAATAGCCCAAACCCAACCACTGCTTGTCAGACTTCTGCCGTGCCAATCAAAGGCATACATAGGGCACGTGCTTCAGTGTGTGACATGGAGATCCTTCACTCGCTCGATGAGCATCCACGTTTCTGATACCCTGTGACGTGTCGTTATGTGCAATCACGGTCAAGAGCTCAACCTACGTGTTGCTTCGCCATTGGCACTTTAAGTAAGGCTAACCCCCCACTCTCTAGGCAGGTGGCAGTACACCTGTTGTGGTGAGGCACATCGACATGGATGATCTGTAAAGCGTTTTGGCCAGCCAAATCTCACGGATGACCCCCTCTATCATCACCTTCAGTAGTCCAGCTCAACCCTCAGCGAACTGGTTGGGGAGGCTTGCCGCACCAGTGGGCCTCTCGGTTCGCGGGTAAACTGTGTTCAGTGTAGCATACATGCCTTAGCGTTGTGTGTACTTCTGAGTTCAGCCCCTCTCTCCTCCTCACCCCCATGAACGGTGGAAGTGTAAAACAAATAAGGTACACATAACGTAATCAGGCAAAAATGTGGAACTACAAACATAACATACCGTATATAACATATGGTACAAGAGTACGTAGTTACAAGAATCCTCGCAACAAAATGAATGAGCATGAGGGGGGGTGCGTTCCTTAACACCATCTCCCTTGGAGCCTTCACTTAGCTCGCACACCTTCGCCATCCACACGGAACGCGTGGCGTGCACATGCACTGGGACATACACTGACTCTTGAAAGTCGCCCACTTGCCACTTGCCTTACTCCTCACAAGTGTATTAGCAGTGTCTGTGCACACGTAATTGCACGCCGTCTCCATATACTCACACGGAGTATCAGCCATTGTCCACCACTGGCTCGGAGGCCACGATGGGAACGGGCAGTACAGCGAGTCCAAATCCACCTTGCACCGGCTTTGGAACCGGGTGTCCGCCATAAGCCCACTCCTCACAAAACACGCACTTTGGCACGGGTTGCACGGCCCGGGCGTGACCGGCGTGGCGAAGTTACACACCGCGTCACACATTGACGGGTACGTGGCGAAATCCGACCCGCACACGTAATTCTGGTTGTTGCTACACCCGCAATCATTCAAGCCGATCCTCCGGGAGCACGGCACGAGAATCAACTGATCCGGCTCGATTGCCGACGAGTCACACGGGAAGAAATTGTTCGCATGGCAGAGGTTCGCCTCGCCCGCCGTGACCCCGCAGCGGTCGAAAAAGGCCATGGCGATGGTGGTAAGGTTGTCGTTGGGCTGCACCTTGTAGGGGATCAGACTTGAGTTGGCTGTCAGGCTGTCCACTAGCACGGCCGTGGGCGACGCTATGCACACCAGCTGCCCCACTTGCAAATAGGGTGCTTGGCACTGAAGGGGTTGCAGTGGGGATGGGCGAGAGGCGTGACAGAGGAAAAGAGGGGTAAGAGAGGTAAGCGAGGAGAGGAAGGAAGGCGAGAGAAGGGAGGCAAGCTAAAGCGAATAGAAAGGCGCGCAGTGGTGTGCTAAGAGCAGTGCGGGTGGAATGGGCTGGATGAGAGAGGAGGTAAGATGTGCATAACCTTAGGCGGGTTGATGGCCATGAATGAGGAGATGGTGAGAGAGGAGGGCAGGGAGAGCAGGAGGGATACAGAAGCAGTAGAGGTGGATGCAGGAGCAGGAAGGGTGCATGAGGTGAGGTGCATTACCCTGAGCCCGGGGTTGATGGCCATGAAGGAGGAGATGGTGAGGTTGGCGGCGTTCCAGATGTTGGGGCAGTTGTCGCCCTGCTGCACCAGGTACCACTTGCTGCACGTCACCGCGTCCTGGGCAGGTGGCATAGCACAGGGCAAGACGTGGCAGAAGAGAGAGTTGAGAGAGTTGATGGAGTTGAGGGAGTGAGGGAGTGAGGGAGTGAGGGGGGGAGGAGGAAGGCAGTGGCAAAATGTGGCAGGTCGTACAAGCCTAGCATTACCAGCTCATGACAGAAGGCCAAGGGTAAAAAGGGGAATGGGAGCAAAGTGCTGGCTTACCCTGGATGTCTGCTCGCCTACACAGACCGCGAGCCCCACAGGTAGCTGCCCGACTGTGCAGTCCAGTCCGGGGTTGAGCCTGTAATGAGGATAAGATCAGCATGGAAGAGGAGGGCAGGGAAAACGATCCTGCATGAGAATCCGTACATATGACTTCACATCTATGAACACGTGGGAAGGAGCGGGATGGGGGATGATGGCATGGCTGGTGAGCGAGGTCGAGGACAAGGAGGACGTGCAGTAAGCAGTGAGCAACTGCCAGTTAGAGAACCAGAAAGCAACGAGTGAGCGGAGCCACTCACATGTAGAACCGGGTGTTGTTGAGCGCATAAGTGGTGGAGATGGTGTCGCACGTGTCCCCCGCAGTGACCGTATACGTGAGCCCGCACACCAGCGGCGACACGTCTTGCCCGAGCATGCCCAGCGGCTCGGCGCACAGCTGCTGCTGCACGTACAGGCTCTCGCACTTCAACCCTGGGTTCGCCTTCCTGAGCTTCTCCTGGTCGCCCTTGAAGTGCCGCGTGGCGATGCTGTCGCACGTGTCGTTCGAGGAGACGTAGTCGGTAGTCGTGCATCCGCTGGTGGCGGTCTGCGTGGGGTTGGAGACTGCGAGCACCATCCCGGAGGGGAGCTCTGCCGAGCAGTCGAGGAAGGGGTTGAGGCGCTGGAGCGTGTTGGCGGGGATGGCGAGGGCGGTTGCGACGCCCTGGCAGGTGTCCGCTGGGACGGTGGTGTAGGTGAGGGAGCCGCCTGCTGGGGTGACCGGCACACACGTGGGCGAGCCGTCCACGCGTGAGCCGATGACGTAGCCCTTTGAGGAGGAGGGGTGGAGTGGTGGAGGGGGTGGGATGGGAGGACGACAGATGGGGGATGAGGAAGAAGGGTGAGGACGTGGGTGATAGATAGGGATGCTGGGGTTGATGGGAGGGGAGGAGATAGGAGATATGGAAAGAGACTGTTGATGTGGGGATTTGGAAGGAAGCGGAGAGGGACAAGGGAAAGCAGGAGAGGCGAGGGGGAGGAGGGAGGGAGGAGGGAGGGAGAGGGTAGAAGAGCGAGGGAAGAAGAGAAGCAAAAGACATCCCTTTTCAAGTTTCCACCAAAACTCATCACAGGTCCCATCCACAACCCATCACAGGTCCGCCCACCCCTCTCTCTCCCCCATCCACCCCACCTCCCCCCAGCTCACCTCATCACACGAGCACGTGTACAGCCCAGCGGCCTTCACGCTGTTGCACTTGCCCGCCCCGCACGGGTTGACCACGCCCTTGGTGCACGGGTCCCGCGTCACGCACTTGCTTGTCGGCGCGCCGATCCTCTCCACAAACCCCCGCGGACACAAGCACCGCGCGAGCCCCCCCAGCATGTAGCACGCCCCCCCCCCGCACGGGTTGATGCGCGAGAGGCAGGGGTTGGCGGAGGGGTCGGTGTGCCAGCCGGCGGTGCGCCAGGAGGAGCGCATGGGGCGGTACTTGGGGTCGTCCTTGAGCGGGCCGATCGGGTACATGGCGGGCTGGGGGGACTTGGGGAAGAAGACCGGGTAGATCGGGGGGATTCTGAGGGAGGGGGCGGGTGGGGTGTGGGGGAAGAATGGGAGGGGAAGGAATGGGGGGAGGGGATCAGAGGGGAACAGAGGGTGGGGGGCAATGGGGGTGAATTACACAAGAGGAAGATGGATGGGGGAGCATAGCCGTAGATTGGAGACAGATGGGAGCGAGCAGCAGACATGCACTTCACAGGGGGCAGGTCCGGGGCCGGGGCCGGGGCCGGGGCCTCACTGGTTGATGCCGCATTTCCCGGCGCCGGCGGTCATGGCAAGGTACATGTAGCCGTTGTCGCCCCACGCCTTGCCCCACGTGTTCTTCACCACCCAGTACGGCCCGTTCACGCGGTCCGTGCCGTACCCCACGATCAGCACCGCGTGGTTCACGTCCACGCTGCAGTTGCCGTTGTAGAACCCGCCGCGGTACATCTGGGGGGGGGAGGGGGGAGAGGGGGGAAAGAGGGGAATTGGGGGAAGAAAGAGGAGGGGGGAAGCTGTCAGAGGGCTGTGCTGCGAGCGAGGGAAGCGAACAAGCAAGCAGGCAAGCAGGCAAGGAGCAACGCAAGCAGGGCCGCTCACCCGGAAGTCGGTGGTGGAGGCGTCGAGGAAGGCGATGACGGGGTGCTGACTCACGGCCTGCACCATGGCCTGCACGTCGAACGCGGGCACCTGCTCCCACCCCGTGATCTGCGCCTGCTTCACACTCGCGCCCTCCGCGTCGCACGTCGGCTGGTTGCTCGCCGTGTACGGGTACACGTCGTTGCTCGCGATCCCGCCGTTGTATACGATATAAGCTAGGACCCACTCCGGCCACCCGCCCTCGCAGCACTGCTGCGCCGCGCAGTCGCACGCCTGCTGCGCGGAGAGCGGCACGGCGTCGCGCGCGAACGTCGCGATGCTCCACATCAGCGCGACGGAGTCCGTCGCCGTCAGCGCCCAGCAGCTCTCGCACTGGCAGCGAGCGGCAGGGATGCGACGGCGAGGCGACATTGACCATGCGAGGAGCGAGGCGGTAGGCGGCGAGCATGCGAGACAAGGGAATGCAGCGGGGGTAGAGAAAGGTAAGGAGGCTAGTTTTGAGGCGCCTCATAACGAGGAGGGTCTTTACGGGGGTCAATGGAAAGTGCTTCTCACATCATAGCGCGAGGGGGGCTCAAGCAACGTTGTAAAAAACGACGAAATCAGAAATCTACGTTGTAGAACATTGGACCGGCGACGGTAAAGCAAGAATACAAGAGACTACAAGATGCATTCTTACGGCTGTGCGCCACTCAAGTCCCACGCGCGCTCACCCGGATCTGGCTGCTGACAGGCGTCATGAAGCGCGTCCACCGCCAGTCCACCCACGCGCGCACGGGCACGCTGTCGTAGCGGTACGCCGTGATGTTGATGTCCGCGGGGGACGGGCCCGTGTTCAGCCCCGGCGGCGTCAGCCCGCGGAACCCCGCGCTTACGGGAACCGGGGCGTCGTCCAGCACGCGCCCGCGCTCGTGACCGCGCCGGCGGCGATCGGGGCTCGAAATGTCCGCGCTGCTGGCGCTGCTGGCGTTCGCGAAACGGACGGCGGGCCGTGAGATGCGGAAGGGGGATTCCGGGAGGGACAGAACGTGGTCCAGAAACGCGCGCTGCACGAGCGGAGGAGCCGATGCCGGATTCCACGCCGGTTCCTCCGCCATGTCTTCAAGTCCCTCTCCCTCCGCCGACGGGCCCGCTGCGAGCAATCGGCGCCTGGTTTGCTCCGCCGCGCGCTGACCGTTCTTCCGCGATTCCTGGCGCTTCTGCTGGTGTTTTCTCCTGGCGAATCGCTTGACAACCGTCGGATCGATCATCTCCCAGGACACGTGCCCGTCAGACAGGTGCTCCCAAGCAAGTCTCTCAAACGCGCTCCGCTGTGGCGGACCCACTAGCGGCTCGGACTCCTCCCATCCCAGCGCCGCATCCCTCTCCCTCCCCTCCTCTTCCCCATTGGTCCGCGTGGCGGCGTCGCCGGTGGCGTCTGGCGTGACGTGGATCTCAAATGCGCGCGACTGGGGCTGCTGGGAGGGCATGGGCTGCGACGAGTCGTCGATAGCTTGAGTCTGCAGCTGCAGGCGAATGAGCGTGTCGCCGGTGGTGGGAGACGCGCCTGCCGCCGCTGAATTCGCCGTGTGGCGCGCCGATGCGAACGGGAACTGCGAGAAGGAGAGCAGGAGGAGGAGGCAGAGGGGTCTGAGAATGTCGACTCGCCGCGATAATGTACGCGACGACGACGAAGATAGTGATGATATTGACGATGAAAATATATTGCTACGTAGCGCATTTTCCGTACGGGACGCCATTTCGTGAACTTTAACAGCGACGAATGGGATTCCGGGATGGATGGAATGTGACTGAATTAGGAGCGGGATTTGGCCGGATGGCTAATTGAACGAAGCGATCTCGAAGCGATTTAGGATGTTCGGCTGCATTCGCTAAGTGCATCAAACGATGACGATGCGTTTCCACTCCACACCATGAACGGTTCGAGTGAAAACGCTTCAGTGCAGTTATGTTTATGGATGAGCAGGCTAGGGCAGAGCTGCGAGTTTGCTTGGTGTGCTGCGCTGCGGCGACAAGGAAACAGCAGCAGGGGTGGAGCGGAACAGTAGGCCATCGCTGCGGAGTGGAGCAAGGGCCAGGCCAACGCTCGGTACAGTGCGGTTATGTAGGTTCAGTTTTGAACTGTATGCTGTTTGTCCTGTTGAGTTGTTGGCAGCGCTGGACTGTACTGTACAGGTGCTGCTGTGGGGAGGAGAGGGGGGGAGCGAGCTCCCTTGGCCTGAGGAGGGTGTGAAACGGGGGAGGGGAGGGGAAAGTCGAGAGAGGGGGGTGGGTACACTACAAGAGAGGGGGGGGGGGAGGGGGGGGGGGGGCGGGGGAGGAAGAGGAGTGAAACCGGGGGTGCGTGTGGGGCTGACGAAAGCAATTGCTGCCAGCCTTCTCCCTGTCCAGCAAAGGTTGTCTGAACATGGGCAGCACTCGGGCAGGAACATACGTAATCTATACAGCTTATTCCTGTGTTTAGTGGCGAGCCAAATGCTCGTTGATTGGGAGTTGATACATTTAATCCTGCTTTACGGGGCAAGCCGTTGAATGATCTCCCCGAACAACCAGTCAACCCCGAATCGTTGACTCGCCTTCGTTCTTTCAAGAAACTATTTGGAGCTAGTGTTGTCTTGCCGACGTAACGAGGTTGTTGCGCTTTGTGGTTTGGTCTGGTCGGATCACCCTGCACAACCTGTACCTTCCTACAGATCTCCCGTTTCCTTTCCCTGTCCGAGTTCGCTAGCGAATTTGTCTTCCGCAGTGGTCTCAGCCAGCAACCCCTGCTCTCACTAAACACCCCCTTTCCCCGCCTCTCACCCAATCCCTCGAGGCGTCAGCCACGGATGTGTACTGTGGAGTGACTATCCATTCCCACTGCTACCCCAAGATTCTTTTAACGAGCCGAAACCGAATCGAATAGTTAGTTGTATTATACTGCAATTAAATGGGGGAATTTTGGTTCAGAAACATAGACACCAGGGTTCATGAAGAAAAAAACGGCGAAAGCCCTGGTCAGGTCAAATTGTCGAACATACATTCCGTTACTGCTGGGACGGGGCCAAACATCCGTTACTGGCTGAGTCCAACGGGACCACTGTGGGAGAAACTCTTGTTTATGTGTATAACATGGTGAGCTTAGCAATTAACTTCTCTAACTCCTCAATGCCAACTTATTGAGCAATGGCCTCAAGGACTCGAGATTTGTAGAATGTACACGGGGGCAAGCCACTCACCAGTTGGTCTCCAAACGTTTCGCATCTCCAGAAGACTGACGGGCAACAGAATGGTGCAGTTGAATGGTAAGGATAGCTCTACCAGTTCACCATACCGGTACTATTTACAATCACTGATTGCCGCTCGTTCTGGCGAGACACAAGAAGCTAGCAAGATCAAACTGCCATTGCGTTATGCGCTCCAGGTTCGGGGGAAAGAGGGGACAGAAGAAATGAAATAATGATGTTTCGGTCATAGTGACCAGTGGTGGATGGGCAGTAGTGGTGGAGTGGAGATTCTTGAGCACAGGACAGCACAGGCTCGCAAGGAGCGAAGAAGCGCACCAACCACCTGAGCTAAGCTGAGCTGAGCTGGGCTGAGCTGAGCCGAAGTGAGCTGAACTCCCCATATTCCATGGCACCACGGCCATGCTCCCTGGATTGCCTGCGCTGCCTGCCCGTGCGTGCATTCCAGATCTTATGCGTGTGTCACAATTTTCACCCTTATCCAGTTCGCCATTTGACACGTGGCTTATTCAGGGCTGCTTACTGCTGACCTTCACAATTGGAGGTAATGAAAGGGTGGCCTGAGAGGCACAGGGGCATGTAGCAAGAGTACACGCAGGGAGAGACGACGGAAAAAGAAAGTGGGGGGGGGGGAGGGGAGGGAGGGAGGGGACGGGGGGAGGGGGATGAGCAGACGGTCATCCAGAGGACCAAAAAGACGAATCCTACCTTAGCAGCCATGCCAAAGGAAAACAACCTCTTCCACCTTCCCTCCGCGAAGGCCAATAACGCTCAACTTCTAACCTCCACGCAGATCCCTCTCCCGTTTCTATCCAAGATGGGAAAAGCCCGAACCCCCACCCCCAACTCCCCCCCCCCCCCACTGACCCAGAATCCCATCTGCCGTGATTCGTTTTGCTGGGTCAACGGTGAGCATGCGGGCCACCAGGTCCTTCGCCTCGGCAGACACGGAGGGCCAGGGCGGGAAGGAGAAGTTGAGGCGCCCGGCCCGGATGCTGTCGTACACGCCGTCCGTGGTGGGCGCCCAGAAGGGCGGGCGGCCGCACAGCAGGATGTAGAGGATGACCCCCGCGCTCCACAGGTCCGCCTCGCATCCGTACGCGCGCTGCACCACCTCTGGGGCCATGTAGAAAGGCGACCCTATGCGCTCCTGGAACTGCTCGCCTGACGGATGGCCAGTGGGGTTGGTTGGAGGGTTTGGTTGGGAAGGTGGTGAGGGGGGGTGGGATGGGTGGGATGAGATGGGATGAGATGGGATGAGATGGGATGAGATGGGATGAGATGGGAGGAGATGGGATGAGATGGGAGGAGATGGGATGAGATGGGAGGAGATGGGATGAGATGGGAGGAGATGGGATGAGATGGGAGGAGATGGGATGAGATGGGATGAGATGGGATGAGATGGGATGAGATGGGAGGAGATGGGATGAGATGGGATGAGATGGGATGAGATGGGATGAGATGGGAGGAGATGGGATGAGATGGGATGAGATGGGAGGAGATGGGATGAGATGGGATGAGATGGGAGGAGATGGGATGAGATGGGCTGAGATGGGATGAGATGGGATGAGATGGGAGGAGATGGGGAACAAGTTGAGAGGCTAAGGGGAATATTGGTCATGTGTGCGGTGGGAGATGCAGCACGCTTTCAAATGCAGGTATGGTAGGCTCACATATGCCCGAAACATGCAGCGTTAGTAAGATGGCTCCACCAATCACAGGTCTCAGTCCATAGACCTGCAAAGAAGCACGCATGTGGGCATGGCAGCAGCAGCAGGCTCACCGGGAGAGAGGATCCCCGAGATGCCAAAGTCGATGACTTTGAGAGAGACGTCGCAGTCGGGGCGGAGGAGTAGGATGTTCTCAGGCTTGAGATCCCGGTGCACGATGCCCAGGCGGTGGCAGTGCTGCACCACGCCCACCAGCACTGCCAGCACTCTCGCTGCGTTGCGCTCCGAGTAGAACAGGCGTGTCTTCACCCGGTCGAAGAGGTCCCCGCCCGCACACATCTCCATCACCATGTGCACGTCCTGGGGAGGAAGGGGGGTACGGGGAGGGTGGTAAGAGGGGGGGGGGGAGTGGACTATGAGGGTGACAGGCGGGATGTGATGCCTTCACCCGATCGAAGAGGTCCCTGCCCGCACACATCTCCATCACCATGTGCACGTTCTGGGGCGAGGGGAGTATGGGGAGATGGATGAGGGGAGAGGGAGAGGGAACTGTGGTGCGCCCTAACTCAACCGGGCAGCAGGAGGCAGCCGGTGGTTGCAGGGCAGGGATGGCGGGGTGGGGGGGATTAAGAAGGGACCAGGAGAGTGTGGATGGAGGATGGTAAAGATTTGGTAGTAGAATGGTAGGGAAGCGAGTGAGAGAGCAGTGAGAGGGCAGTGAGAGCGCATTGAGTCGAAAACGCACCTCAGCGTCCTCAAAGACGCCGAAGAGCTGCACGATGTGTGGATGGTGGATGGTGATGTGTGGTGGTGGCATGGCATGTAGGTAAGCGAGTGAGAGCACAGTGGGATCGCGCACCTCAGCGTCCTCAAACACGTCGTAGAGCTGCACGATGTGTGGATGGCCCCTCAGCATGCGCAGCACCTGCACCTCGCGCCGCAGATCTTCCACATCCGCCTGGCACTGCACGGCACGGCACGGCACCATGGGGCAACGGGGAAGGCAGCAGGGATGGGAATGACAACACGCACGGTACGAGCGAGCATGATGCCCACCCGACAGGACAGGGAAACAAGGGAGGAAAATGCGGAGCCTTTCCCTTCAGGTCAGCAGCAGCAGTCACCCTAGCAGCAGAACCACCAGCGACAGCCCCGCAACTCACCCGCAGGTTCCTCTTGCTGACTGTTTTACACGCGGCCTTCTCCTTAGTCTCGCGGCACTCGCACGCACGGATGCGCCCAAACCGCCCCTCGCCAAGCTCGCGCTTGTGCATGAGGTACTTGCCGCGCACATCCTCAAATGGCGCCCCCAGCACGTTCACGCACAGCCCAAACACGCGCTCGTACAGACTCGCCCCCTGCCGAGCCTCCGGCGTCGACACGTCGCCCTCCTCCGGACCTAGCCCCGCGGTTTGGTACACGGACTTGCTTCGGCGGTGCGTGCCCACGGATCCTCTGCCTCTTGCTGCGGCTCCTCCTGCTGCTCCGGCTGCTGCTGCTTTGGATCCTCCAGAAACAGAGCCTCTGGTGGCTGTGGTGGTGGCTGCTGCTGTGGTGGCTGTGGTGGTGGCGGTGGTGCTGCTGGTTGTGGGGTTGCCTGCTGTGATGGCCCGAGAGGGGATAGTCGGGGGGCTGGGAGTGCGCGATCGGTGCTGGGACGGACGTACGTCTCGCATTGGCTGCTGCTGGTGCTGGTCCTGGTGCTGCTGGGTGGGGTGTTGCTGCGATTGGACGACATCAGAGGGTGAGAGCACTGGCGAGAGAGAGGTGGAGCGCGACCTGCTCGTGTTCCTCCTCGTCGTTCTCTTGCTTCCCAGGGTGCTGTCCAACGAGTTCTCCGGAGAAGCACCAGCCATAGAACCTCCACCAACAGCACCACCACCAACAGCAGCCCCAGCAGCAGAAGAGGCAGAATCAGCAGTAAAGCACGTAGCTTCCAGTGCCATGTCAACGGGAACAGCAAGCGGCAGGTGGGCCGCGAGAGAACCAGCGGTAGCAGACGAGTGAGACAGAATGACAGTCGCCACAGGCAGGGAGCTCTCCGCATAGCCCACTACTGGCACCATCGCCTGCTCCTCCCCCACTGGCACTCTCTTCTTCCCACCACCACCTCCACCTCCTCCTCCCACCCCTCCTCGTCCCCCCCTCGCTCCTCCACCTGATAAGAGATCCCACGACATGGCTTCCATACCGCCAGCGCCAGAGGGAGCAGCAACACTGGCTGAGCGTGCCGATCCCTTTCCCCCCACCCGCCTTGGGTTACTGACGATTTGGGTGCTAATAGCACCGCTACTGGCATTGGTGCTTGCAGTGGCGATACCCCGCACCTCTTTCCTTGCCCTCGTGCTCCTCTCTTTGCTGTTCCCTTCCTCCTGCCATTCTCTCCCCCCAGCAGACCACTCCTCCCCTTCCCCACTCTTCCCTTGCGCGCTGCTGCTCGCCTCACCAGTGCCCGTCTGCAGCACGAGGTGCAGATGAGACACGGATTTAGCCCGGCTGTGCTTCCGCCGACCGGCCAATGCAGCCTGTGCTCTTCCCTCTTCTTCTTTCTCTGCTTCAAACTCTCGCTGCCCCTCTTGCTGCTTGTGAGGCACCTCAAAGACAGGCACCTCTGGCGGCCACTCCTCCTGCACTGCTCCCACCCCTCTTCTCCCCCACCCACCTCCTCTTTCCTCTCCCTCCATCTCCTCCCCTCCCCACTCTTCACTTCTCCTTCTCCCCTCCCCTCTCTCGCCCCGAGCCTTCTCCCCACGACGACTCCTGTTTGCACCCAAGCTGCTTTTGCTCTTGCTATGCCCTTTCCTCGACCCCTGGCTCTCTTCCCTCTCCCTCCATGATCCTTTTCCCGAACCACTACCACCACCACCACCGCCACCACTCCCCGACCCCATGTCCCTTCCCACGCCCATGCTCATGGTTCGCCTCACTCTGCTGCCACCATACCGCCCGCCCTCTCTCTCTCCACCACCGCGCCTTGCTGTCCGGTCGCTATTCGCCCGCTCAAACAGCCCCTCGTCTTCCGCTTCCTCCTCGTCCTCTCCGGTCCCTACCCCCCGCCCATCCACCCGCCTGTTTCCAGTGTCTTCATACCCATTCCCGCCCCCCAACCCATTCTCCACCCACGCACTCCCTGCCATCTCACCACCCTCCACACACACAGGGTACATGTCTCCCACCTCACTCCCACTCACCCATCCTCGCTGCACTATCTCCCCCCTCACCTCTCTCCTACCTTCCCTCTTCCCACGGCTTGTGCTTCTGGCCTCCGCCACCCCCCATCTCTCCCCTGCTGCCTCCCTCCCCGCTTCAAGAGCTTGCCATGTCACTCTCACCGCGCCTCTCTTGCCCCCCTCACCTCTCGTTCTCCCATCGTGCATGCCAAAGTATCCACCAGCGCCTAATCCTTCGGACACACAACCATCATCCCCCTCTCCCTCCCATCTTCCCTCCTCCCCTGCCTCCCCCCTCTCCCCCTCCCTCTCCTCCTGGCCTTCCATGATATTCACACTCCCCTCCTCTCCCTCACTCTCCCTCTCCACCACACTCCCTTCCTCACCATCATCGTCCAGTGAACCTGCCCCCATCCCCGACTCTGCTCCACTTCCCGTCCCCTGGTCCCTCATACCATCACCACCCTTGACACAGCCCGCAGCAGCACCAACACCGCCACCAGCAGTAGCACTAGCAGTGGCACCACCACCACCAGCAGCACCAGCAGCACCAGCACCAGCAGCAGCAGCAGCAGCAGCAGCAGCAGCAGCAGCAGCAGCAGCAGCAGCAGCATCAGCAGCAGCAGCATCAGCAGCAGCAGCATCAGCAGCAGGATCATCGTGAGCATCCCCTTCAGACGCGTCGCTGCTGCCATCACCATTCAAGTCGAGCATGGCGTGGGCGTCGGAGCAAGCGAGGGTGGCCAGGAACGGCAGGCACTCAAACGACTGCCCCCTGCGCGCTGCCTTGCCTGGAGACCGCATGAACCTGAACAGGCCGGAGGGTATGGGGCTGCCGGGACGGCTTTGGGAGTGCACCCTAGCAGTATTGCCACTCTCTCCTTCTCCTTCTCCCCCTCCTCCTCCTCCTCCGCCTCCTCCGCCTCCTCCTCCTCTGCCTGCCGCTGCTGCTGCTTCCCTGTGTACCACCCGACTGCTTCCCCTCTCTCCGCCCTTTGTCACACTGCTTTCCGCCACCACAGCTGCTGCTGCTTCCGTGAACCCTCCGATCCTTCCCACTGCTCCACCTCCCCCTCCTCCCCCACCTCCTCCTACTCGGCTGCCAAGCAAGGGGCTTAGGGAGCGCCCTCTGTGACTGCCAGGCGAGCCTGCTGCTACTGCTCCAGCTGATGCCTCTCCTGCTGCACCTCCCCCACTCTCCCCCTCTCCTGCACTGTCAGAAGCAGCAGCGCTACCCCCAGCAGCAGCAGAGCCTTTGAGACCAAGGGCAGAGCGCCAGAAGGACACTCGGCCAGACTGCGAGGACCCCACTGATGAATCCCCTGGCATCTCCCTCCTCCTCTCCTTCTCCCTTCCCTCCCCCGCCCTATCCTTGCCCCCCCACTCGCACTCCTCCCTCCCCCCCGTGCTTCCGTTCTCTTCCCTCCTACCACTCCCTCCATCATTTTGAGAACCCTCAGAAAGCAGCCTACCGCTACCTCCCTGCTCTAGTGGTGACAGGGACACCGGGCTGCTGTCCCCAGCGCGAGCAGCACAAGCACCGGTGGAATCACAGCCTGGGTCGGGGTCACTGAGAGGGCTGGTAGGGAGGCTGCTAGCATCAGCAGCAGCAGCAGCAGTGGCAGCAGTGGCAGCAGCGGCAGCAGCGGCGGCAGCGGCGGCAGCGGCAGCGGCAGTGGGGCTGGTGCGGGATGACGATCGGGGCCACCTCCAGCGAAGGGGCGAGACCCGGGACGCCTTGCTGCCCCCTTCCTCACCCCCGCCTCCTCCTCCTCCTCCTCCTCCTCCTCCTCCTCCTCCTCCTCCTCCTCCTCCTCCTCCCCCTCCTCCTTTACCGCTTTCTCGCACGGAATCTCCCCCCTCCACACCCCGGGCACTCATTGCTGCACCTGATTCGGAGCCGTGCACTGTACTGCTGCTGCTGGGGGCAGATTCAGGTACTGGGACAGGCCGAACGAGCACAGGACCTGCCGCCGTCTCTGCTACATCTGCTACAGCTGCTACAGCTGCCACAGCTAGTCCCCTGTCGGCGCCTTTATTGCCACTGCTGCCGCTGCTGCTAATGCTGTAACGTGGACAAACACCATCCCCTGCAGCAGCAGCAGCAGCAGCAGCGCCAGCACTTGCAGAGCCATCACCGCTGTTCGTTCGTGTCTTTGTACTCACCTCATGCTTGTGCCTGCGCCCGCTCCCATTTCCACTAGGAGAGCTAATCCAGTCCCCCTCGTCCTCCCTCCAATACCCCTCCACTCCCTCTTTCTCAGCAGTCCCTTTCACGCCCTGGAAACGCACCTTGGAAGGCAACAAACCCTTGGATTGGGCAAACCCCCACCTTTGATCCTGCCCCTGCCCCTGCCCCTGCCCCTCCGCGTGCCTTTGTACCTGCCCTTGGTATTGGAGGTCTTCTAGTTTAAACCGAGTGTGGCGGCGGGGGTTGACCCGGCCTGCCGTCTGCGGGCGAGAGGGTTCCTCCAGCACGGCTTCTCGTAGGGACCGCCCGCGTGCTTGGATCAAGGACCGCGCACGCCGGAAGTCGTCAGGGCACTGCTCGCCACTGCTGCCCTCCTCCTCCTCCTCCTCCTCCTCCTCCTCCTCCTCCTCTTCTCCGTGGTGCCCTTCGTCCCCTTCTCGTTTAGTACTCTGCCTGTCAGCATTCATGCCCCATGCGAAGGATTTCGACCGCAGATGCTGCCGCGGGGACTGCTGCTGCTGCTGCTGCTGCTGCTGAGAATACTGGTGGCGTTGCTTGCCTCTTTCTCGTTCTCTCCTCGACCATAGCTGCTCGCTGGCACCCTCCACGTCCGACTGCCCCCCTTTCCTTCGCCCTCCTCTGCTCCAACTCTCCCCTCCATCCCCTCCTCCGCTCACACTACACCTCGCTCCTTCTCCCTCCACCCCTCCACCTCCCCCTCCCCCTCCCCCTCCCTCCCCCCCCACGTCCGCCAGAACCCCTTTCCCCAGGCTGCGGCTGCGCCTCACTCTGCCTTTGGCTCGGCCCAGCTGCGCCCACTGACTCTCCACCCCGTTGCTGGAGTCCAACACCAGAACGCCACCACCAGCACCACCACTGCCACCACCACTGCCACCACCACTGCCAGCAGCAGCAGCGCCACCAGCACTGGCACCTCTCATGCTGCGGCTGGCGCCCCCATCGCCCTCTGTGTACCCATCACTGCTTTGCGTAAGCCATAGTGACACTGCTTCATCTCGCTCCTGGCTCGACTCACAACCCTTCTCCCTCTCCGCCTCCCTCTTCCTCTCCCTCTCCCCCCCCCTCCCCCTCTCCCTCTCCTTCCCTCTCCCCCTCTCTCGCCCTGACCCCGAGTCACTTGGTGCCAGACCCCCTAGACCTCCCCCCCCCCTCGCTCCTCCTCGCCCAGGGCTCCGCGTGCTGCTGCTGCTGTTTGCGTCACTCTCGCCCTCCACCAACCACCGCACTCGGGACTTCTGCCGATGCAAGTCCACACTAGGACCCTGCCGCGCTCTCTCTGCCCCTGCTCTCTCTGCAACACCCTCACCCATTGCCGCCACTGCTGCCACTCCCCCCTCTTCTTCCATTGCTCCCCCTTCACTTTCCTCCTTGTCTCCTGCCCCCCCCAGCCCTCCCCCTCGTCCGCGTGTCCCTGCGCGCTCGCCAGCCACTGCACCACGTGCTGCAGCTTGCCCTCCCCCGCACCAGCCGCGCCCATGCTGCGCGCATGCGCCAGCGCGCCTCTTCCCCGCACCACCTCCGCCTCCGCCCACTGCTGCTGCTGCTGGTGCTGCTGCTGCTGCATGGCCATCTCGTTCACCAGTTCCTGCTCCAGAGACAATCCCCGCAGCTCCGCGCTGCACGCAATGCTCCCCCTCCTCCCATGCCGCCTCCCCACATGCCCCCGCGCCATCCCCTCGGACTCCGCCGGCCCCTGCCTCCGCCCTTTTCCCTGCCCTTTCCCCTGCCCTTGCCGCTCCCCTTGCCACTTCCCTAGCTGCCCTTGTTCGACGTGCACCTCTTCACTCCCCTCGCCAGGGGCACCACGCCCCCATGCCTGCTCCGCGTTACCCCCAGCCCCATAGTTTCTCCCCGCTGATCGCCCCTCCCCTACCGCACGCGCTTCCCCAGTGCGCGGCCGCCTCCCCCCCCGTCGCTCCTCCCCCCATCCCTGGCTTCCGCCCATGCTCTCCGCCTCCCCCCCTTCACGCGCTCTCCCCGCGTGCAGGAGGGCGTGTCCGGAGTGGTACGAGCGGAGGGGAGGGAGAGACGCGGAGGGCGCATAGGACACGTGGCAGGCGGTGGGGGAGCCGTCCGAGGGGCCTTGGGGGAGCGCCGCGCTGGGGTTGTGATCAGCCGTGGTGGCGCCTGCCGTTCGTGCTATGGACAACGGCAGGGAACGGGCGGGTCTGTAACGCTGCTGCTGCTGCTGCTGGTGCTGCTCTAGATGGGTGCTCGTCCCCTCCCTGTCCTCGTACTCCTCCTCACCCGCGTCCTCTTCCTGCTCCCATGTCGCCGCCTCCTCCCAATCCCCAGCTTCCCCCGGTCGTCCCGCCTTTGCTCCTGCGTTCTTGGCGCTGGTGTACCCGACTTCCCCTCGGCGTCCCACCGACATTCCACCTTTCCCTGACACCGGCCCTTCCACCCTGTCAAAGACTGCCACGTCATACAGGTCCTCCTCCATTCCCCGCCGAACGTCCACTGACGCATACCTCCGATGCTTTCCCGAGCCTGTTCCCGGGCCTACACCCGAACCAGGCGCAGCAGCGACCGCCACCACTGCATTCCCTGCGCCTAACCCTGCGCCTGTCCTTGAATCCGCATTCCCCACCGCGCTCCAATACACATTCTGCTCCGCCGTTCCGCCCCCTATCCTCCGCCCCCCTTCCGCGCCCTCCCGCGCGTGCGCTGTCCCCCATCTCCCCCCAGAATTCCGCGCATTTCCCGCGGAAGCCACCTGGTCGCCGTGTCTGAACGGCGACGGATCGACCCGCGCGTCGATCCAGTTAAGATCCAGGTGCTTCGGGTCTGCCTGCGACGGCTCCTGGATTAAGACTAACGACATGGAATTCGCGCGCATGCGGGAAGACGTTGATGATGATGATAACGGCTCGTCGCCGCTCGCACCCGTGCCGTTGCCTAGACGTGCGGCGGTTGTCGCTGCTGCAGTGGCGCGCATAACCCTCTAGAGGCGTCGGTGTCTACTAGCGTGAAGTCTAGAACCCCGGCGAGCATAGTAACCGTTCAACTCTCAGCGTCTTTCGCGAGGAAAGTCCCCGGGGTTGGCGAAATTCCGCGGCTACTGCTGCCGCGAGCTTACTAGCTAAGGCGACAGAGAGAGTGCGTAAGGCGCCTCCAAGAAAAAAACGTTAATAACATTAATAACGTTAATAACGTTAGTACTCCGTTAGGCGACATGCCCCACGATGAGGTGGGAAAAGTCGCAGAACACAAATTTCCAGTCGAGAAATTTGAGCGAATCAGGTGAGCCGTCCGTGACCTTCAAAGGACACCATACTATGCAGAGGCATTCTACGCCTTACTACGAGCTCAGAGGCTGACGACTGAAGGGGGTTGTTCGAGGAGCCACTGATGGGTAACTGGCGGTTTGACGGAGGCTTGACGGCCGGTTGTACAATAGGACGAAACCAGTCGTTTAGAAGACGGAAGCCGTCGAATGGCGTTCCCGGTCGTCGCACTTGCTTCGAAACCCACGCTGATGTAGGCGGCAGGTTCCATGACCCGGGACGATCATAACCTCGAGGCACGAATTTCAAAAGAAGGGAAATATAAGAAGAGGAAAACGAGGCTGAGTGTCGTTAGGGTCGAGGTTCTTTGGCTGGCGCCAGTCCCAAGGTGCTACTCCTTCGACCGTGACGGCTGAAGCACTTGGGAATTCAACGGGGCCGCGACACGGGATTGAAGCAACAAATCAGTCTCCCGACTTTATCTTAGCACGAGCGCAATGAGGCCACCTATTCTAATGCAGCATTGAACCCCAACCGTAGATAGAACGGGACGGGATGGCCGTGGGAAGGCGGGGGTTGGCCTTGGATTTCAGAAGGGTGTGGTGTGGGTGGGTGTGCCACGCAGTGGACACACAGACAAACTGGTTTCATCGGTGTAGTGTACGTGTAGTGTGTACTGTACTGTACTGTATTGGTCTCTCTCCCCCACTCCCCTACTTCCCCTCACCCTCCGCCCCCCCACCCCCAACCATTCCGCCTCGGTCTCTTGAATCGTGACGTCATAATTCCAGAAGTTTGGCCTGCCTGGGCCTGGACTTTGCCAGCCATGTGTACTCGAGCATGCCGCCGAAGAGCCATACCGCACCACACGCATGCGGCGGGCAGAATAGAGCGCTCTTCCAAAAGTTTCAATTTTACGCCCAGCTTGTTCTGCGGGGCGAGGGAGAATGATGACACAGAAAACATTTCCCGGGCAGCGAAATCTCTGGACACTGCAACCCCCAACCCACCCTTGAAGCCAAAGCCTCTGGTGGCGCCCACAGGGATGAGAGCGGGAATGGCTGGGTGTCCATGGGATGTTGTGTGGGTCTGCGGGATGACGGATGGTGGTGGTTGTGGTGTGGGGCTGGGAGATCCGACGGTTGAAACGTGAGGAACAAAGAAAAGGAACAAAGAAACGCCCGTACAGTACAAAGCTGAGGACTCGACGAAAATTGCCACCCAGTCTGGCAAGAGGTCCCTTCATGTTTTTCTTGTTGGTCGGCTGTCCTCTCAATTTGATACTTCCCGATTGTGTTCGGTACAAGAAATACCGCAACCCATCTTGGTTATAACAAGCATTCATTTCTTCAAAGGTGATATGGTACTTAGGGCAAGGGGTTAGTGTGTCCATCCAACTTGAACAGAAGTGCTCTATACTATAATAATTTGACATGTGTTGCAGGAGACTAAGTATAGAATCTGCAAGCACGAACACTTGGAAAACCTCAAGTGTTAGCCTCAGATCTTTACTGGAATGGTAGACTAGTAAGACAGCGGAAGTCTTCTAAAAGTGAATCTGAGAAAAACTCTTGTGAAAGTCAAGGTTGAACAACCTGAACTAAACAACCTGAACTTGTGGGTATCAAAGTTAATAATGGAAAGGCATAACAAGGATTTATAGTTCTAGGAAAGTACTTGTTCGCTAATGTACATGTTCGTCACTATTGTGCTATGCGTCCTAAATGATAACGAAGATATGCAACTGTTCGCGTGACTGAAACGACTGTCCTCATGACGAGCGATACTTGCTGACGACTTCCTACGGAGTTATATTCTATAGTAGGATTCGACACACAGAAATGCTAAGTATGAATTATATCACAACCCTCCCCTTCATATCTGGAAGTTCGATAGTGTCACTTCTTTAAAATCCCGCAGAGCTTGTTACAGTACTGAAACTTCTGTCGTGTCAGCTTCTTCGTGAGGAAGTCGGGAGCCATTTCGTTTGTTGAACAATGGACCAGTCGCATTCTCTCCTTCTCGACTTCATCCTTGACGAAAAAGCAACGCAGTGAAATATGTTTCATCCTGTTGACGAAGCCAGGCTGGTGCGCGATGCGAATTGCACTTTGGTTGTCGCACTGCAGAGTAAACTGAGTACTCATCGTTAACTTCGCTTCTTCCAAGAGTTCCTGCAGGTAAAGTCCTTCGCGTGTTGCTGTACAGACAGCGATAAATTCAACTTCAGCAGAGGAGAGAGCAATCAGCTCCTGCTTCGTCGAATTCCAAGAAATAGGCCCGATAGGTTCAAGGCGGTAGATGAATCTAGTACGCGATCGTCGATTAGTAGATTCCGCAGCGTGATCGGCGTCGACGAAACCGTATAGGTATAATGTTTTACAACCGACGACGTTGTAGGCTAAACCGATGTTAGGTGTCGATATAAAATACTGAAGCACGCGGAGAAGATCGAGTTGATGCTCCTCTTCAGGACGGCGTAGGAACTGAGCGAGTTGACTAGCCGCACAGGCTAGATCGGGACGGCAAGTAACGGCGGCGAAGAGTAAACAACCTAACTGCTGTTGATAAATCAATAAACCGGTTAGACTCAATGGTGCAGTATTCGGTTTGTAGTCAATCGGTAGCGAGCGGTACGGTGTAGAGACTGCTGTAGGAGTAAGTTTGAAGCGGGCAGCGAGCGTTGCTGCGTACTTCGACGCGGTGAGGTGAATAGACGTCGGCGAGCAGGTAATGTTTAGACCGAGAAACTGTGAGACTGTTTCGGAGACGGTAAGCTGTAGATTTTTCTGTAGTTTCAGTATGAAGGTATTGGCAAGCGAATCGGTAGTACTGACATAGAGAATATCATCGATGTAGGCGACGAGTAAAATCTTTCTTCCTTTTACTTCTGATTTCAATATTAACTCCCATGTGCTGCGACTCCTGAGAGCTGCTAGCTCTCGGTCCATGGCTTCGCGCCTTTTTTCTCGGTGAAGACTCGTAAGTGCTTGTTGAACGGTTTTCGGTTCAGGTATCTTACTCTCGTTGTACTGTACTGCGACTGCGAATCCAAGAATCTGTAAGCCAGTTTCTATAAAACGCGGACGTTCTCCATTTGCACCTGCAAAATTTTCTTCTGGTCCTTCTTTCCCCCCAATTTTGTCAGGTGTAACACGGACTGCTTCGTCGGAGACGGCGGGCATCGGCTGCTGTTAGCGATCGCATTCGTAATTGAGGTGGACTTCGCGAACGTCATCCGGGTCAGCATGTGCGAGGGGAATACAGTGACGGAAACAATTGTCTGGATGTTTTGCATTAATGAGGGTTTTTGGGCTTTCCGACCACTATACGTAAAGTCTTAATGTTTAATGGTGGTACGCTTTGGGAGGGGCACATAGTGGATGTTTTCACAACACTCAAATCCATGATAGGACACAAGATCTAACTTAGTGCCAAAAGATATGCAAAGAGTACATCCGGACAATTTTTTTGCACGACAAAGAGCAAACTTTCGAGCAGCGTTTCTAGTACCAAGTCAACCGACACTTGGCCTTGATCACCACCTACACCCTCCTAAGCATGTTATCTACGAGGTTCGTGCAAACCTTAACATGGATCTTCTCGGACTCTTCCTGGACCCAGGCTTTTGCATAAGGGGGTGAGCACTAGGAAAATCGCCAAGGATTTGAGCGTATACAAGAGTATGGTGCACGATTTCAGATTGGATGTTATCTGTACGATTAGCCATGCTCAGGTGCAGCCAAAGATGCCATAAGTCGATTGCTCTCGTCTTATCATGGATCGTCTTCATCGTACCGTCGTAAGTAAAAATTTCGAGCAGAGTGGCGAAAACTAGCGTATCTGTTACGAAACTTAGGGTAACATGGCACGGTCGACAGTGCATCCTTGCACTATTAGAATCGCGCTAGGATCCTTTGGTCTCGTCACGGTGCAGCAGTCGAAGTAGTCGCGACTGTTCAGAAAGAATATCCAAGTTGAGATCTGGTGAGGAAAAAAGTCACTACAACTTAACATACTCGTGTTCTCTAAGCCATTCTAAGCCATGTGTCCCGCCTAGGCTTGGAATGGCTTGGAGAGCATGAGTTTATAGCACTGGAGTGACCCTCTTCCTCACCAAACCAGGACCCGGATATTTTTCCCCACCAATTAGGGCTTCTTCGACTACTGCACTGTGACGAGACCCGTAGATTTAACGCGATTCTATTAGTGAATTGGTGCACAGTCGACCGTGCTATGTTACCCTAAGTTTCGCAGCGGACACACTAGTTTTTGCCACTCTGCTCGTAATATTACCCTACAACGGTACGACTAAGAAAATTCATGATAAGATGGGACTAATCGACTTATGACATCTTTGGCCACACCTCAGCATGGTTAGTCTCAGAGATAACATCCGGACAAGTTTCCGCCAAGGTAAATTCCGGGATGCCGGTCGACGTGACAGGTTCGGGTATGTCTGTTGCGGCAGCTTCGGAGGCTTCGGAAACTGCTTCGTCCTGTACATCAGCTTCGACTTCGTCAGTTGCAAATGCATGCGAGCCTTCGAACAGCCTGGCAGGGTTGGCAGCTGCCGCCTGGTGGGCACGAAAAACTGGCAAGGTGAGTCGCTCATACAAAAGACAATCACGTGAAGGGATGATTTGGTTGGAGCGAAGATCCAAAATCTTCCAGGCGTAATACTGTTTTTTGATGCCGAGGTGTACCCCCTAATTTGCCCATTCTGAAAATTTGCCGAGTGCTGCAGTTGGAGGTCGAAACTGCACGACACACCCAAAAACTCGTAAAAGTTTTGTACTTCCCACTGTACGTGTCCACTGCAGGTGTGGTGAAGAAAACTCGGGCATATTTAACAGTACGCCGTGGTCCATCGTATACGGCCAAAAGTGAGGAGGAAGGGCTGCTTGTGTCAGCAGAGCACGCATCTTCCCCTGCAGATTCCGATTCCTCCTTTCTGCTATCCCCATCTGTTGGTGTGCATGCGGCAGTGACAGCTTCCGTTTGATGACGAGGGTTTGGAGGTAATCTGTGAAGGTGTTTGCTTGTGTACTCCCCTGCGCCATCACTCTGGAATTCTTGCAGTTTCATGCCAGACTCTCTTTCAGCGACAGCGAGCCATGCGACGAAGACTGAATGGGCGAGATATCGAGAAGGAAGGTTTGTTGTCCAAACATAGCGAGTAGATGCTTCGATGAATGTTATCACGTACTGCTCTTCTTTAGGTCCTGCTTCAGGTAAGTTAAGAATATCGCTGTAGACTTTCTGCATCAGTTTGTAACGTGTGGAGCCAGGAAAATGACTTGGAAACGGGTCGTGGGTAAGATTGGCGACCGGACACGTGGTGCAAACCGTCGGGCGAGACTGCGGCTTCATCTCCGTGCCGTCAGGTAAAAGACGACTGTTTTTATCAAGAACTGCTGCTCGGATTGAATGATTTAAAATCCTTTGCGACGGATGTCCTAACCGCTGATGCCAAATTTCCTCCGTGGCTTTGTGTCCTGATGATTGCA